GCAGTGAGTTTGGGCTGTTACAAAATGTTATCAGAGTCAAACACCGGGCGGTGTGCCAGCAAGAACGTTGGGTGGACTGTGAGATCCCACACCGGTTGGAGAGGGGAACAAAGCATTCTTTATAAGGATGTGGAAATCTCTCCCTAGCAGACGCGTTTTAAAAACCGTGAGACTGATGACAATACACAACGGGTAAAAGCGGACAATATCTGCTAACGATAGGTTTGAGCAGTTTCAGATCAAAATATATTATATATCCAATTGCCAAGTACCAAGTTTAAGAAGATCTTAGATAAAGATTAATAAGCAAAAACAAGACATTAGGGGTAAAAGTAAAATTTTACCTGAGCAAGTAGACATACATTTATGCTAACAGTTTGATTGTGCAGTGATGAGAAATGACAAACAACTTAGGAACAATTCAATTGAAAAAGCAACTCCTACATAATATTTTAAGCGGAAAAAGCTCTTGCTGTCTTTGCCAAGAGAAGGAAGGAAAGAAAGAAAAGGCTCTTGCTCGTGACTCTTTTTTGTTTGTTTCTTTGATATTTTGTTTTCCTTCCCAACTTTTTTGACTTTTATGGTTACATGATTGCTACCACTCTTGGAATAGCGACCACAAACTTTTTGTGACATGTTTCCAACATTGTTTACACTGCGGTATGTTTCATAGGTTTTGAGGCAAGTTTTTGAAAGTTCATATTTAATTCATGGATGTTTACGTGTTAAAAACCTACATAAACTATGCAATTTTATTGTTTTCTTTTAGTTTGTTTGGATCACGAATATTATATGATGAGTTATCTGATTGTTACAAATCTTGGACTTAAAACGTTTAGGAGAGAGTTTTAGGCGTTTAAGACAACTATAGGTTGCTTGTGGGATCCGTCCAGTGATCTTTTGGATTCTCTTGGCATTAAGCATTAGCAAAATGGAGGAAGATCAGTTCAGTAAGCAGCTTGGAAAACTCAAGCTAACTGAAGAGGAAGAAGGAAAGGTGGTTGATGTTGAAGATAATGATATAGATGAATCTGATGAAGTCCTAGAGAACGCTTCAGCTTGTAAGATCTTAACCAACAAGATTATCAATGTCAAGGTCGTTAAAACGCTAATGCCGAAAATATGTAACTTGTGGAAAGAAATCTCTACATTTGTAAGTTCAGAAATGAAAAGGGAAAAAACAGAATTATGGAATTTTATGAATCTCTAATTGTTTGGGATCCGATAGCGTATAGCCGTTTGGCCTCGCTCGAATTTAGGTACACTTCATTTTGGATTTATTTCCATAAGCTTCCTATGGTAATTCAGTAGGCAGTGTCAAAAAAGTTGATACTGATAATTATTGGAAAATATTGGGGAAGGACTTTAAGGGTCAGAGTGGCGAGAAGTGAGCCCGGTAAACAGGATTTAAAAGATCTCTGCACTGCTGAGGAAAATCATGGCAGAGAAAAAGAAGTGGTTTCTGCAAGTAACAAAACAACTGTGCTTTGAAATTCATTTTGACCAAAGGAGCTCGCCGAACGCCATGAAAATCCTCGAACCAATCTTAGCCACGAGGTTCATGGGCATAAACCCCTTCTGGCATTCATATCTAAGACTCGTATACAAGAGAATTCGATTGACAAACTAAAAAGTGACATTGGTTTTGAGTGTTGTTTTTGTGTTGATAGCAAGGGTTTAAATGGTGGGGTTATGCACTTTTGGAACCAGGAAACTGAGGCCTTGGTATGCTCTTTCTCAAAAGGGTCATATTGATGTGGTGATTAAGGATCAAGGATGGATGGTGGCGGTTTACGAGATTATATGGAAACCTAAAGATGAATCATTGGCAGACTTTTGTGGCATCTCCTACAACTTTTAAATGATTTGTCTAACCTTCCTTGGGCTATGCTAAACTAAAAGATAAGCTGTTTTCGCCTCCCAAACAGCTTGTGTGAGGATATAAATCGTTTATGAACCAGATTTTTGGTGGGATTTTTCTGTTGGTTCAAAGAAAGCTCATTTGTTGAGCTGGAAAAAGCTCTGTACTTGCAAGGAGTGTGAGGGGATGGGGTTCAGGGATTTTAAATCTTCTAATCAAGCTATGTTTCCCAAACAAAACTGAAGGATCAACAAAAACCCTGAAAGCCTGTCTGCTAGGTACCTTAAAAGACTGAAACTTCTTAAGAGCCCCCTATAACCCATCTTGTACCTGGAGAAGTGTTGTGAGATCCCACATTGGTTGGAGAGGAGAACGAACCATTCTTTATAAAGGTGTAGAAACCTGTTATGAACCAAGAGACATCAATCATACAATATACTTCAATGTACTGTTGAAATTATTAAAAGATATTTCAATTCATGCCACATTGAAGAAGAATGGAGTTTCATGGAGTTTCATGTTATAAATTTTGGGTAGATTACAATATAGAGTAATTTAGAGTTATTGTATTTCATTAATATATTTTAAGACTTTTTATTTACTTTAGGTTACAATTACATAATGGTTAATTATGGTCATAAAGTATGAATGTTGCAACTCTTGGAATGTCTTTAATAGTTTCATTTTGAGGTTATATAAAACCATGTAGGTTGTATCTGTAAGTAGACTTGGAAAATATAGTAAAAGGAGCATTTGTGCTTTCTTTAGCCAATGGCTAAGTTTCTTTGCAATTCTATGTAGTTTAGGTTGCATATAGAATCATTCAAGCTCGACGTGATCAATCTTGCTTATGGAGTGATTCAAATCTCAAACAAGTGTTCTTGCATTGAAATATTTGATCAACAAGAATTATTCAAGCTAAACATGGTCGATCTTGCTTGTGAAGTGATTCGAATCTCAAACAATGTTCTTGCCTTGAGATATTCAATCAACAAGGTAATCCGAATCTTGCTCCCCTTGTAGTGATTCCTTAACTTATTATAAGGGTGTGGAAATCTCTCCCTAGCAAAAGCGTTTTAAAACCTTGAGGGAAAACCTAAAGAGGACAATATCTGCTAGCGGTGGGATTGGGTTGTTACAAATGGTATCAAAACCAGGCACCAGGCGGTGTGCCAGCGAGGACGGCCCCCAAGGTGGGGTGGATTGCGAGATCCCACATTAGTTAGAGAGGAGAACAAATCATTCCTTATAAGGGTGTGGAAACCTCTCCCTAGTAGACGCATTTTAAAACCTTGAGGGGAAGCCCATAAGGGAAAGCCCAAAGAGGACAATATCTGCTAGCGGTGGGCTTGAGCTTGGGCTGTTACAAGTATATTGTGGGGTCGAGATCTTTTTCTAATAATCTATCGTTGGAAAGTTGGAAATGGGAGGTATATTGACATTGTCAATGATTCGTGGATTGACAGAACAGGTTCATGTAAACCAATGGGAAAAACTCTCTAAAGAAAAAAATGGTGCTGCAACTTTTGGATGATAGAAACAACAGGAACGAGTAACTTTGTCGCTCAATATTTGATTCCCCACAATCAGAAAGGGTGGCCAGAAAGATGAAGTTATTTAGAGCCTTGACAAGAAGGGTGTCCTCTCGATCAAAAGAACTAACCACCTTGCACGTTTTCAGATGATATTCCAAGACTTAAAGGCTCAGTATCTCTATGTGCAGGAAAAAGCAGGAAGATGCTCCTCATGTTACTTGGAATTGTAGCAACTCCAAACCAATTTGGTTTGCATTCCTTCCACAATCTTACAATTTGTTTGGTTTTTGTGGGGATCTTGGAGTGCTAAAGACTATCAGAATCGGTTTCAAGCTAATTCAAGCATTTTCAATTTGGAATTACCACAACAAGATTAATTCAATTGGTTTCCCTCCAGTTTTTCATCATTTGTTCCTAGTTATTGATAAATCTTCGACAAATTCAATTAGAAGCTGAGATTCTTACCTGAAGTCAGTTTCGAGAGAGATCCCACCGAGTCTGTTCGTAGGTCTCCTCCGCCAGAAAACGTCTGGAAGCTCAATATGGATGCTTCTTGGAACGTTTCGCTCGATCGTGGTTCATTACTCCGCTGGTTCTTCGATCTGCGCTGCCTCAAAAGAGCTCAAGAAAGCTTGGTCGATTCATGCTCTGGAAGCTGCTGCGGTTCTTGAGAAGTTATCCTCCATTGTTGATAATTTCAACGCTCACAGGATACCTATTGTGATTGAATCGGATTCCTCAAAGATTATTAACCTCCTGAATGAGGTTGAGGTTGATTTAACCGAGACAAAAAGAAAAAGAAAAAACCTCATCAATGAGATCTCAGCGTCGGTCGGCTCTTTTTAGCTCTATTGCTTCTGTGTTCTTGTGCAGGGATTGCCAGTTGGAGACTTCGTTGCGGTGGTCGGTTACCAGTTCGAGGTCGATTCCGCCGTTCTGAAATTCTGTTTCGCCGTCGCCACCATCGTTCTCGTGCTACCACTGATACCGAGCGGGCCGGGTTTGGGCTATTTTATTGGGCCCAAAAGATCATGGGCTTTAAGAGAAAGTGGGCTGAAGTATAGGCCTAGATGTCGCGTGGGCTTGGTTTTGGGCTTTTTTGTTTAACCCATTTGAAGCATAGAGATTTACAACGAAACCCATCCAATTTGAGTACCTCCGAGTAGTTCCACCTATAAAATTATTGACCTCTCGAGATATAGTAATATAAACAAGATTAAATTGTTTCAAGCACTGACATAACCAAAAATGTCCCTTGTTTCAAAGAGATGACGGGTTATTCACATTTCAAAGACAAATTGAAAGTTAAGCAATGATAATTCTAAGGATGTTCGAGAAAAAAATAGAGATGTGAGATCACATCGATTGGAGAGAGAAATGAGTGCAACGAGAACACTAGGCCTCAAATGGAATCGAGTGCATTGTAATATCTCACATTAGTTGAAGAAGAGATGTGTAGAAACTTGAGGGAAAGCCCAGAAGTGAGTACAAAGAAACAATATCTACTAAATGTGAGTTCGGACGGTTACAAATGTCTACATTACTCGTAATTAATTTCATAGATGGTGAATGAACAGAGGTAAAAAGGGTAAAAGAGAAGCAAATTCACCACAATTAATTCTTTTAACCATCTTGCTCTTCCTGAAATCTAATAGCAACATCAAGGGAAAGCACATCCAGAGGGTAAAAAACAGAAGAAGAAGAAGAAAAATGGAAGCAATTCCATCAGTAACTTTCTCCCCTTTACTTCTTCTGTTCTTTTAACCCTTTTTACATCTAATTCAATGAAACTACAATCCCTACTACTATTGCCTCAGGTTAATTTCCCTTCTTTTTGCTCCCAAAAAAGGAAAAGGGTTAAAGAAAAGAACAACTCTTTCTCATGGAATATGATCATTTTTCATTTACCTGCCCCTTCTTTCTTCTTTTCATGGCTGCACAAATCATCAATTAGTTCAAGTAATCTTCTACCAAACTCACCCTAATCCAGAGCTGGATCCAGTAACTGGCCTCATCATTGGGTGACTAAGAGAAGGCTGTGCATTGGTTGGACCATTGAACATGGCATTAGAAGAAGTCGTGGCGGGCTGCTGCTGCTGCTGCTGCTGCTGCTGAATTGCCGATAAGGGTAGCCTTTGCCCTAAACCGAACATCGACTGTCGGGGCATGTACGACATGTGGGGGTGAAGTGGTTGGTTGTTGTTATACCCCGAAACGCTCGGCTGTGAAGCTGGAGGTGAGATCATATTCTGCCTACTGTTTGTGTTATTGTTGTTGACCATGGAAGGGATAACGCCCGGTAAACTTGCAGGTGACGAAACTCCAGCAGCAGTTCCGAATTGGATACCTAACATTCTTGCTCGCTCTGCAACAAGCCTCTGCCTTGTCCTCTCAACTTGTTCGCATTCCTTCATTAAGAAGGTTTCTACTTCTGCAAATTGCTTCAGCTTCAGCTCCAGTCTTCTTAACTGTTGCATAAATTTAGATAAAACAATGAACATTTACTCAAGTTTCAACCTTTCCAACAAACAACAGACTGTCGTTCTATCCAAATTTGAAAAATATACCAGGCGATCGTCTAGCGAAACGTTCGTTATTCGATTTACTTCAAAAAAAATTATGGCCTAAACTTATGAACAGGCTTTTAACCGATAAAACACTGCCACGTTTAGTTGCAAAAGTAAGAACAGGGAAATTTTGGTAAAAATGGTAAAATATAATGCACGCATGTTCAAAAACCCTTTGTCAGTCATTTCTTAAATGCATCATGACTAACCAATTGAAGCATCATGACTAACCAATTGAAGTCAACAAGTAGTGGTTTTGTGAGATCCCACATCGGTTGGGGAGGAGAACGAAATATTCTTTATAAGGGTGTGGAAACCTCTCCCTAGCATACGCGTTTTAAAAACCTTGAGGGGAAGTCTAGAAGGAAAAGCCCAAAGAGAACAATATCTGCTACCGATGGGCTTAGGTTGTTACAAATGGTATCAAAGTGTCTAGGGTGATGTGCCAGTGAGGAGACTGAGCCTCGAAGGGGAATGGACACAAAGCGGTGTGCTAGCAAGGACACTGGGCCTCGAAGAGGGGTGGACTGGGGGGTCCCACATCGATTAGAGAAAGAAACAAGTATCAACGAGAACGCTGGACCCCGAAGGGGAGTGGATTGTGAGATCCCACATCGGTTGGGGAGAAGAACAAAACATTTTTTATAAAGATGTGGAAACCTCTCCCTAGCAAACGAGTTTTAAAACCCTTGAGGGGAACCCCAGAAGAAAAAGTCCAAAGAGGATAATATCTTGTAAATATTTCAGAGTCAATGTGTAGAGTTCAAGCAGAACATTAACTATAAACGTATAGAACTAAGTTTCACACAAATTTAAAAAATTATAACAGTGATACCTGGTGATTTATAATATTGGCAGACAAACGTTGGATTTCTCGTTCTTCGTGATCAGCAAACAATTTCGCCTTCGTTGCAGCAGCAGCCAGGCCTGCTTTTGCTGCAACTTTAACTCGTTCAGAAGATAATTGTGTTACCTCAGGCTCAGCCTTGTTCTCATCTGAATTTGACCACATGTATTGCATAAATTTCCGAGTAACATAAAACATTCGTCAAGAAAGAAAACAAGAACAAGTAAAAGTCATTCTCAAACCAAACCTTTTTGTTCAACTGAATTTGGAAGTTCTCCATAAGAGCCACTGTCTCTGCCATGTGTGATGTCGACGTTCGTCCTTCATATTGAAAAGGAAATTTCAATTTTGAAATAAATCGTGATTTTAAGAAAGAACTGATGCAACTGCATTATAATACATAGTGACGTCCACAAGATTAACTCTGGGAAATTGGAACCTGCTTCTACCTCTTCCTATCCCTCAGTAAAACACACATACATGCACAAGCTCCATTTTGTGTACGGGTGTTTTTTCTTTTTTTCTTTTTTTTTGGTGGGATAAATCTAGTCTCAACATATATAGGCAGTAAAACAAGGTTTCCCATGAAAAACAGTTCATTGCAATGGGATCAACTGCAGAATCATTACCGACAGTCTTAGCATCAGATAAGAGTTAAAATCAATGAACGAGTCTTTAAACCCTTGCAGTAGCAGATAGGAAATTGGTCATTGAACGTTAGACAGGAAGAGAGGCATCTCTTGGATAAATAAAACTAAACAGCCCAAGCTATGCACCACCAAGCCCAAGCCTACCGCTAACAAATATTGTCTTTTTTGGGTTTTCCCTTTTAGGCTTCCCCTCGAGATTTTAAAACGCGTTTGCTAGGGAGAGGTTTTCACACCCTTATAAGGAATGCTTCGTTCCATTTTCCAACCGATGTGAGATCTCACAATCTACCTTCCTTGGGCTTCCTTGGGGCCTAGTGTCCCCACTTGGGACACTGCTTGGTGATTGACTCTAATACCATTAGTCACAACCCAAGCCCACCGCTAACCGATACTGTCCTCTTTGGGTTTTCCCTTATGGGTTTCCCCTCAAGGTTTTAAAACGGGTCTGCTAGGGAGAGGTTTTCACACCCTTGTAAGGAATGCTTCGTTCTCCTCTCCAACCGATATGGGATCTCACAATCCACCCCTCTTGCGGGCTCAACGTCCCCACTGGCACACCGCCCGGTGATTGGCTCTAATACCATTTGTAATAGCTCAAGCCCACCGCTAACAGATATTGTCCTCTTTGAGCTTTCCCTTCTGGGCTTCTCCCTCAAAGTTCTAAAACGTGTCTGCTAGGGAGATGTTTTCACACCCTTATAAGGAATGTTCATTCCCCTCTCCAACCGATGTGGAATCTCACAGATTCTCAGATTCTAAATGGATAGAGTGTTGTAATATTTTGCAGTTACTGAAAAAACAATGTTGAGATTAAATATTAACATCATTTGTTGAAGAAAAGTTTCCAAGAAAGAAAATACCTATTGGCGTTTACAGAACCCTCCCTTTGAAAGATGCTCCCGGAAGAAGCTACACTGTCCTCAGATAAAGCAGCTAAGGATGCATGAGCACATGATGCAGCAACTCTTGGTCCAACAGCAGATGCGAGAAAAGCAACCTTGTAAATGTCCAAAAGTTAGATCAATTCCAACGCTATTTACAAAATGAACTACTCATTTAAGAAACTCGAGCCCTATATCTAAAGAGAAGCTCATAGTCAGAGTTCTTTGCGTTAGATATAAAGCAATATGAAATGGAAATGAAGAGCCAAAATCTCAATGGAAGTGGCTCCTTAGCAGTATAATATGTTAATTGGAAATTGAAGAGGTTGGGAATATAGGCAATGCTATCAAGGGACAGCAGATAAGCCATCTATGGTGGTGGAAACGGCAGCATTTCAAGATATTACCCAGTCTATTATTTACTGAGATAAGACTGGACTCAACAGTAAAATTTTGTATTCTAGTTGAAGGTAAGAATTAAGATAGGAAGAAGGAATAGAGCTCAACGTCCTCTTTCCGTTTTCTTCATTTCTTTTCAATGATCATAGTGAGAGTCAAGCCAATTCAAAGGCACCTCGCTCGACTAATCTTCTAGACAACCTCCTTACCCTATTCTGTATCGACATGTAACTACCATATTTTAAACTATAACATCAGAGAATCTGACTTGCCTACACCTGCCCATTTGAAACAATCCCTCGGTGTTTGTATTCCGATATCTTGAGTGAATTCTTATTACTCACAGGCTACTAATACGAGTACTACAACTAATCCACTCCAGGTCTCAAACAGCTTCAAACAGGGCTAGCCTCCTCACTGCTGTTCCCTGCTTAATTGTCTTATACTCATTATTCCAAATCATCAACCAGGACATACTTTTTCTACCTCTATTAGTTATTCCCATAAACGAGTCAGCTGACACAATGGAATGATGGCACAACAAAAGAAAATAAGTAGATAGCAGAAAAATTTACTGGAGAGGGGTGATCTATGATAAAGGAACATGGCGGAACTAGATGCTTCGGAGTTCGGCAAAAATATGAAATATTATAGTTTTGCACTGGTTTTTTTTTTTTTTTTTTTTAACATGGTTT